CACTAAAGAAATCACGTTTCCTATTTTTAGAATAACGACTAAGAACACAGTCCTTTAAAAAACTTCTCAATATATTTAATATGGTCTTGTTGACATTTGAGTCCGACCTCTTTTGCAAGTAACGTATCTAAACAGGAACAATAACTTTAAAAAATCCATCATCCGATAATCTGTCTCTTTAAAAAAAAACAATGAGATCTGTATATAAATCAAACAACTATATGATACATTGAATTAATCAAAACAAAACAGGTCTGTACACTAGTCTTTATTGGAAAAAGATCAAAGTCTAACTTTTTATTACCAAATATTTTCAAAATTTTTTATTTGAATGTAAATACTTTAATTAGTTTTGAATAGACATAAAATACTATGATTGCATACAAATACTATGACTGCATACAAACACAAGTTTAATAGCATGTTCCTTAATTTTGCCACAAAAATTTATTTTAGGCTGTACGTTTGGCTTTATATGAACTTTACACAGATAATTTTATACATTTCTATATATATACATTAACAAAATTTCCTTAACAACCCAAATCAAATGTTTTCAAATATTTCACCCTTTGAATATCTAACTGAAATATCATAAAAGTTTACTTACCCGAGTAGTTCTTTTTCGATTGTTGCCATCTCTCTCAATACCAAACCGTTTAAAATCAGCATCACTTTCAAGAGAAAGACAATTCAAAAAAAATGCTACTGTATGCTGAAGCTCATTTTGACATTGTTGGTTTTATCACATTCTGATCTGCACGCATTTGCTGTATTTTTTTAAAATAGTTTCAGAAATTACGTAACGACATGCGTACAATGATGTGCACAAGGTTCATTATCTAAAAAACAATAAAAACTGTCTGTTAACATAACATCAGATGCAGAGCAAACTTTTAAACCATATTTCCACCTGTAAATTCAGATGGAGAAATGGTTTGTAATGTATTTTATTATGAAAAATATTTCAAAAATATGATTTATGGCTATGATTATGTAAAATTGTTAGTATTGGACTAGCTACATAAAAAATTAGACAACTCAAACATATATATATATATATATATATATATATATATATATATATATATATATATATATATATATATATATATATATATATATATATATATATATATATATATATATATATATATATATATATATATATATATATATATATATATATATATATATATATATATATATATATATATATATATATATATATATGTATATGCTTTAATTCCTCAAATGATTAATCAGTCAGCATAACCTGTTCTTGTTTAATAAAGTAAAATAACTTGTTTACTAGGAAACTATGCTGAAGTTTTAATTAAAGATGAATGAGAAACTGGTTGTAGTGTATGAGAAATCAAGGAATTGTTTGAATAGGAAGTGGTTTGTTATTTGAAATTATTTTTCTAATTTTGGTTAATGATTGGGAAAACTCTTTTCTGTTAAATCTGCAAGGTGCAGTTTCCATCATTAGCTGAACTAGAATCAGATTTTTCCTCAGATAGTCGCTCCTTCGTCTTCGTTGATTTGAGAGTTATTACAAAAATAAAATTATAAAGGTATTAAATTAAACTGTTTCATATTTCAAAAAATAGAAAAAAATGTCTCTTTTAATCAGTTGAGATTCCTACTCTTCATGGTTTAGTAATATATTTTGCAATTTTTTCCTTACTCTACAGTTGGACCACAAAAAACATTCCGAATCTTCAAACCATTTATTAGACACTATTAAAAATAACTACTGAATAAGGCATCTGTAATAAATAAAAATTTCAAATAAAACAATTTTTTTATTAAAAAAACATTTGCTTAATTTAGATTAAGTAAGATTAAAAAAAAGGGTCACACCCTATAAAATTAATACATGCTGCTAAACGGCTTTCAAAGGTACTTTAGAACTAATATTCTACAAAATTAAATTCAAAATAGAGAAAATGTGTAAATGTGCAAATAAATTAAAGCACTTGTAAGAAATGTATACATAAACACAAAAACCAAAAAATATAGAGTATATTATAAATATACATGGAACAACTTAAAAATAGAGTATGATAGTATAAACTTATTATCTAATATGAAAAAATATATAGAATTCTAAAATATAATAAGAACTCTAATCTCTGATAATCGGAAAACAACAAAGGAAGCAGAATATGGGAAACAACAACATTTTATTACAAAATCAGAAAATGGAATTGTATGCAAAGAATCATTGAGACAATTAACATAAAAAATAGATAGTTTTGAACTTGCAAGTGACATGCCATAAAAATTTGTTTACACTGTTAACAAATAACTGGCTAAGAAAAAGGGATATTTGAAGTCTCCTACTAAGATATTAACTATTCGATAGCATTTTTGTCCTACCATTACTGAACCACAACGCAAACTACTAAAAAATCCTTGATTTTTTTAATGGCACCCTTATATTGCAAAAACGGGCTGTAATTTGGTATGTGGAAGGGAAATTCCATGGGTGTAAACTTTTCTAGAACGTTTAGATTAGTGATCAGCAAAGCTAGAAGCTACTTGCTGAAGCGGCAAACATCCACAAATTCTTTGTTTTAATTAACCAAGCGTATTTTTAAAACAAAAAGCGCAAAAAATGCCGAGGGGTCTGAAATGTAAATAATCATTATGCTGATGTATATGAGAATGTGCATTACATGTCATAAACGATTTTCCATACAATGCAACAACCTTTGTAACAAATATTATTAGTAACTTACCACAAAATTTAATAACATCATGCTCTTGTGATCTACATAATAAAAATCTGGAACTATGTAAAGTAAGAAAATGTTTATAAACTGGTTGACAAAGAATATCATACAAATTAATTGGTCCTGAATAAAAGAAAAATGATCGAAATTCTGTTGCCTTCCACTTATTCAAAAGCTCCAATAAACAAGGCCTTCTGTTAAAATCTGACGGAGAGATGAAATGATGATGGTGAGAATGGTGGAGAACATGAATTAGCTGAGCTGATATTGTTTTTAGTGATTGCTAAATTAGCATAACATAAATAATCCAGTAGACAAAAAATTTAGAAGTCTTCGTACCACCTCTTAACAGACAGAATGCATGTATTCATTTGGAAAACTATTAATTGGATGAACAGTATTTCCCACTAAAGGTGTCACACCGTCATGATGATCGTCTTCTTTAGAAATAAAACTTTCTAATGCTCTCGAATATGCATCTGTTTCTAAAAATACAACCTTGCTTAGCAATTAACCCTCTACAGTGCGTTTGTCAGCTGGATTAGCTCGAATGATACATTATGCACTTAATAAATGCACGTGCATGGGCGTTACATACAATATTAGTTCAATGAATATTTCACAACTGTGAGTTGTTTGTAACACCATTGCTTTCATGATGATTTTTTTAAATCACAAATTACAAAAGAAAAACACGTGTAAAATTGGTGTTTCCCTTCCACTAAAAATAGCAAAAAATTTTAATGACAACAAGTCAATAACTTTTTTTACTGGAAATGGAGAAAGTTATATTAATTAAGATAAGACAAACCATTTGCATTTGTAAAATTCAAGCAATTACTGACTGCAATGGCAACTTTTCTACATGTATTTCTTTAGGAAAACATTTTATATACAATTATATTAAAATAAGAATGTACCCATTCGGATATATAAATGTATATATATATATATATATATATATATATATATATATATATATATATATATATATATATATATATATATATATATATATATATATATATATATATATATATATATATATATATATATATATATATATATATATATATATATATATATATATATATATATATATATATATATATATATATATATATATATATATATATATATATATATATATATATATATATATATATACAGGGGCAGATGCAGGATTTTTTGTGGGTGTTGCCTGTTTTTTTTCGAGTTGCCAAAATAGTTTGCGATATTTTTTTGTAAACCCCTCCCCCGGGCTAGCGATGGATGGGGGGGAGTTCAGAGCGACATCATTACTTCATTATTACTCACCGGGCATTGTTCTCAATTACCCATGTAAAACAAAACTAACAACAATGTTGCCTTGGCTATTCTGTTCATAAATTAGACATTTTTTACTTGTCTAACCTATTTAACGAAGTGCACCAACGAGAAGGTAAGCCTTAAGACTTTGCACTCCATCTGTAAACTGCCATGTGGCCTCAGGTTAGCCCTCCATTTCTGGATTCTTTCCTTTTCTTGATAGGCAGTTAGTGTAAATTAATTGTATTGTTGCCTTAGGTTAGCCCTCCATTTTTGGATTCTTACCTTTTCATGATAGGCTAGTTAATGTTAATTATTTATATTATTACCTTAGGTTAGGTATCCATTTCTGGATTCTTTCCTTTTCTTAATAGGCAGTTAGGCCAAATTTTTTTTAACGCTTTTGTTTTTAATTTTTATTTTGTTTTTTCTAATTTTCATTAAATATAAAATAAACTTAAATATAAAATAAACTAAAATACAAGAATATAGTCAATGAACAAAAAAGAAAATTAATAAATTAATATTAGGTAAAAACCAACTCTAAGCGTCGTTCCCCTAAAACAGAAAAAATATTCAAAACTCTTTCTAACTCAGGAATTATTTCTTGATGAATAGACATCAGAGCTAAAGAATTAAACCTTGACTCTGTCATGCGGCTTTCCATATAAGTTTTCAGTCTGCGTATAACAGAAATGCTCCTCTCGCATTCACATGTAGTAATTGGAATTGTTCCCATTATTAAAAAACCTTCCCTAATGTTTGGGAAACACCTCAAATCAATAGATATGAGTCTCTGTAATAGTGGATGGGATCACAGATTGATTGTTCCTAAATGTTTCCCACAAATCTAATTCAACATGAAATGATGTAGGATGAGGCATATCCAATATATAAAAATGCAAAAATTCCATAAAATCTAACTCCAAAAATCATTTTTCTTTATTTATTTTTTACAACAGTTGCAGGAATACCAGATAAGCCTTTGTAAACAACCATATCACCTTCATCAAATCTATCTTCTAATTCATTAATTAAATGATCTAGAAGAGGAGATGTAATGGAATACTTGAAATAATCTGAAACTGTGTCAGAGGGATAATTATCTCTATAAATTTGTCTGCCACAGAGACTTGGTTTAACTTCTGAAACATCAAGAGCCTTACCTAGATCAAGAGCAATTAAGTAACATTCGTTATGATAGACATCAATAATTTTTTTTAAATCTAAAATTTGAGTTTTTAAATAATTTATTTTATTACACTGTTGTGATATACCAAACGCTTTAGTTTAAGGAACAACAGTGATGGCATAGATATAGTCCATTATTTGTTTGGTTAAAACTAAACTTACAATAAAAGAAAAATTAGTCATAAGATTTAAAAAACATGAAGCTTTTGAAGACGTATCAATATTATAACTCTTACCTTCACTGTTTTGCGCTAGACTAAGACCAGTTGAACCAGATTTACATCCAATGAACCATAGAACATCTTCACAAATAACATTATCACAGTCAATGCATCTTATAACTAGAGATAGCTGTTCAACATTAGAACAATCAGAGGCTCCATCACACACGATAGAAAAATAACCTGACTTTTTAATTTTATTAATAAGAACTTCTTCGAAAGTTTTTCTACAGCATTCAATAAGTTCGTTTTGTGTGGTTTTAGATATATAGGTTGCATCTTTAGGAGCAGAACAAATATGGTGCTTAAGAACTTTGTCACCTGCTTCAATGCAAAAATTTAAAAGCTCTACAAAGTTACCTATACCAATGTTGTTTTTACATGTTTCTCCAATCTTTGAATGATACTTACTGTCATCACAATGACCTTGAAAAGCAATATCGTTGTGGCCAAAAAAAATAATTGTCTTTATAATTGGAATTAATTTAATCGATTACTTATAATAAGTTTTTTTCTCAGATTATAGATGTCAACTTCAATCAGATTTTTTTTTGAATTAGATCTAGATTGCAGCATGCATTGACATTTGATGAAGTTGACAATTATTATTGTGATCCATGTAAGCACGAATTGCATTACCCAATATCTTAAAAGGTTTTTGAATGAAGTTGATTATTGAGGTTTTGTTTGGAATTCTGCTTCCCAACAGTGTACATGGAAGGCAGTATGCTCCATCTTCAATCTGTGAGTAAACTAAACAGGAATATTCAAGTAGCCATTTATGTAAAAATGATCGTTTCTTTTTTTTCACCAGAAACAGTAAAAACAAAAGACGAGTTAGGAATAAATATTTTATTAACTAGATCTAACAACATTGAATCATCTTATCAGAACCTTAGTAATAACAGAAGAATGCGATAAAACACTTGGCAAAACTGAACACAATCCTCTTTTTAAATCACTTTTGACAAATTTCTTTAAGCTTTTCTTTTCACAATAGGGACAAAATGATTTGGTGACCACATATCTTTATCCTTGAAAATAGAGCGACAATTAGTGTTACACCATAAATAACTCAGAATTTTTTTATTTGTTTTATGATTACCATGTGGGTATATTCATTAAATAACTTTTTATATTTTTCAAGTCCAAATTCAGGATAAATAGACCTAATTTGTTTATTTAACACTGCAGATAAGGCAATTAAACAAAGAAAAGAAGCAAATTCATTGTCTCTGCAATTGTTATAGGTTTCTTTTTTTATAAGTTCAGCAATATTTATATCATTTAACTCTGTGAAAGAATCAGAAGATTCAAATGAAACTTATGCCATAAAAACACTGGAAAGGGAAGAAAAACATTTAGATTCCACTTGGTTTAAGACTATTGGGTATCTCGAATAAAAGGTTGCTTTCTCAAACAACTTAACAGAAATATTATTTAAAGAATTTCATTTGTTTTATCTGATGAATTTATTAATAAAGCAGCAGAGTTGTAAAGACAGTTACCATTTTCCATTGACCAGTAAAGTCATAATATATATATAATTAATATAACGAAAACAAACATAATGAACTAAACATAATTTGTCAAGAATTATTGTAATATAAACAAAATAAAACATAAAAAAAACGTGTTTAAGTCCATAATTGCAAACAAAAATAAAATTTGTAATAAAAACTACATGTTAGCTAATTTTTAAAAAAACTTTAAATTATTCGAATACTTAAGGCGTTAATTTAATTTATACGAATAATTAAGGCGTTATTATAATAATTAAGAATTAATTTTTATATATAAACGGAACCGTCCAATCTGCAACGATATACCGGTCCGGCAGGCTGCCGAGCTGGCCCGTATCTGGCTGGCCAGCACTGGGCCAGCGCCGATTTGCTCACTGGCTTTGTCACGCTCCGGCACTGGGTTGCCAGTGCAGGCGCAGTGCTGGTGTTTCAGTGGTCCGCCATTGGCAAGCCAGTGATGGCTTATCAGCGGTCCGCAAATGGCAAACCCGAACTGGTCTAACGCAGGTCCCCAAATGGCTCACCGGAGCGGGATTAACGGTCCATCAAAAAAGCTTTAATAAATATCTAAGGAGCTTTAATAAAAAATATTTTAAAATTATTCAACAAACCATTAATACCCTTATAATTTGTAAAATAACATAAAACCAGGTATAAAGAAATATATTCTGTAATTTGAACTAACACATGTACATAATAAAAACATAACCACAACATAAAATACAATATTAATACACGAAAAATATAACTACATTATGAATATGGGAAACAACTTTTAAAACGTTTCTGAAGAAACTATAAGGTAGCAGCATTTAGCATAACTAATTTTTAACATAACTAATTGTTTGAGTCGTCTGAGCAGAAAAGTGGCAAATGATGCAGTAAAACTTCCGCTGAAGTTTTAGGCGCTACTAAAGGTTGTTCTACAACTGCCGATGAAGCTGTAGGCATTAGTGCACGATGTTCAAAGTGAGTTTTTTTTATTGATTGTCGAACGGCTCTTTGTTTTCTACCACCATTACGATCACTAGCCCCTGCTAAATAGTGAACCACGGCCTTCTGCACATCACTTTCTGAAGCACCTTTCGTTGGTGGATTTCTTCGCAATGCTACTGCAAATGTGCATCATAATATAATACGCAGTTATGCCCTCACTTAGTTCACATTATTATAATAACATTTAATATTACTAAGTAAAATATTTTCTATACATTAAGTATTTCTAGTAGTTAAAATTTAATATCATAGAATAAGCAATTTTGATGCAGTAAACAACTGTTTCTGAGGTTCATTTGCTAAATTATAGGTGATATTAACAAAAATTAAGTTTCGCTTACTTTCCAGAACTTGTCGGTATTTCAAGTCACGAAAGGGTTTTTTTAGATTTTCACCAAGTCCTGACCAATTTATTTGTTTTACTACGTTGTTTTCCATTAGAGAGGAAACCATCTTTCTAACGGCTTCCTTCAGGTCCTGACCGCCCTTCGAAGCAACACCATGCACCTAAACATTAAACCGTCGACATTTAATTGATTATTTCATCTGCATTTTGGCAATATCATAAAAATCATAGAAATAAATAAAAACAGTAACTAGGATGAGGCCAGGTTGCATTTGAAAAAAAAGCATTTTTGATAAGCAAATATATATCTTGCTCAATTTTTATGCTAAAATTTGCTTGAATTAGAGAATTCAAGAAAAAAAAAAGGGGAGGCGATCGAAACACGAACCTCCAGGGGGTTCGTGTTTCGATCGGTACAAACCTGAAGATGAAGCAAAACTATAAGTAAGATAAAATTTAGTTATAGATTGTAAAGTATTGCTTACTTCAAATAGATCATAAACTCTCGCATGCAAATATTTTTAATACATAAGATGTTTTTCAGATACCAAATTTTTTGGAGAAACTTAATATTAAGTCAAATTGTACTTACAAGTTTATTAAATAAAAGATTGTCTTTAGTAATTATATCTTCAAGCTGCTGCAGCTGTTTTCGGTCACATACAGGAAGATCAAGAGTTTCAAAAATGTTGCCATCGTCTTGTATCCCACCTTGTGACAAAGTCTGCAACATAGTAGTGTTGTAAGTAGTCTGCTTCTGAAGATTAGCTACTTCGCTTTTCAGCTCAACTAAAAGAGTAAATATTTTATTTAAAACACTGTTTGATGTTTGTGCAGATGTATGACTAGCTGCTGTAGACAATTCTGTGGCATTCAAACTAGTAGCTGGAATTGACAAGCTAGTCTGAATATTAGGAACAAGGTTAGCTATCACTTGTTCTAACTCTCCTTCTATAAAGGCGCCTGCTGAAACAAATGATATATCTTCTAAATTACGCCGACTGATTGTATGCAATTCTGATGCTGCATGTGTTGAAGTTCGGTAACAAGCAGCAGATGTAGATGTTGCAGATTGCCAACTACTTGTGGTTGCAGGTGTTACAGATTGTTGACTAGCTACATGTGATGTAGATAACTAAGAGCTTCGTTCAATAGCTCTACACCTTTTCAAGATGTAATTGAGAAAACGAAAATTGTAATTAAGAATCGTAAGATGTAATTGAGAAAACAAAAGTTGTAATTAAGAAACGTAAGAAGTAATTGAGCAAACCTAAGTTGTAATTAAGAAACATAAGATGTAATTCAGAAAACGAAAATTGTAATTAAGAATCGTAACATGTAATTGAGAAAATTTAAGTTGTAATTAAGAAATAGAAAGATGTAATTGAGAACACGAAAATTTTAATTTAGATATCGCTTTAAAGGAGTAAGTGTAAAATGGCGCTTAAAAAAAATGGCGCGTAAAAAAATGGAGCGTATAAAATGACGCACTTAAAAATGACGCAAGATTTGTAGCGTAAATTTAATTTTTTAGAGAAAAATTTAGGAAAAAATTTATAATTTTTGGGCAAATGAATTTAACATAATAAACACTAAAAACACTTTAGGGAAAAATTTATAATTCAATTAAAAATCATAATTAAAAATTATATAATTAAAAATCACTATATTGATCATTTAAGCACCAACTTGTACGTCTTCCATATTTAAAATAGTTGTATAGTGCGTGGTTGTGTGTTGTACCGCACGTGCACAATCTCCTCCCATTATAGTATTTTTCGCCTCAATTACAATTCGTTCTAAGTACTGCATGCGCTGTTCCGCAATCCCGTCACCTAATACTGGTGGAATGCGAATTGCATTTTTAACGTTACTTTTAATTTTGGACCAGATCATTTCCACCGGGTTCAACATTGGACTGTAAGGTCCCAAACGTAACAACTGAGCTGGTGAATTATCAAACACCCTTTGCAAACGAGCGTGACAAGGAGCATTATCTGTTACGACGACCAAATCCTCCAAACGATTCCCGGATGTAACCCACTGGTGAAACATAGCCAACATCCACTCGTTACAGGAATCTGCTTTAAATGATCCCCTGCGAGTTTCTATCATGACGACATTTGTAGTTCAAATAGCTGCGATCAAGTGTATGTTTAAACCTTTTGAAGCAGGTACTTTCATAATTGCTCTTTTTCCTTGTCTCGCGCGTCCTTGCGTTTTTCTACAAAAAAGGTTAAAATTTGTTTCATCCAACCAAACTATCTGACGACCATTTGTGATAAGTTCGTTGATGTTTCTAACATATTCAGCTCTTTTTTGTTTGTTTTCATAACTGTTCATTGTAGAAGGCTCCTTGTGCACTTTTTTTAATGAGAACAATCTGCCTTCGAGGTAATTTGCTATTGTTGTTGTGCTAACGTTTATGTAAAATTGTCTTAATATCTTTGTTTTGATGGCCACCAATGTTAATTGACAATCATTTTCAATCCATGTTAATGTTTCTTCGATTTGATCTTTGGTCAACTTTTTCGGTTTAAAATCTCTTTTTCCGATGAAATTTGAATTTCCGCTGCAAACCCAATTGTATGCTGTCTTATATTTGATACCTAGCGTTTGCGCAAGATTCACCCAATCTTCAAATCGCTCCGCACATTCAACAACTCTTCTCCTGTCATTTGGAGAAGATAAAACGTAACGTTTCCTTTCAACTTGTTCAGTTGTGTGTATTTCATGCCGACAAATCGGACAACTTGAATCTGGTTGTTCCAGAACTGGACGTAAACAAATTTGGTGACATAAATGTTGACACGGATTTAGCTTAATAACAGACTTTCGGGTCATAGTGTATTGGCATATAACACAACAATCTTTCAATTCCATTATTATTACTTGTGCATACAAAAGCAAAATTTAAGATTATAACTTAAATTCATGCCCAAAAAGACCTTTTGTAACAACCTACAAACTTAGACTGTGAATTTGCTATTTTAATTTATGTGTTCTCAATTACAAGTTACGATTTCTCAATTACATATTATGATTTCTCAATTATATCTTACGTTTTCTCATTTACATGTTGTGTTTCTTATTTACATGTTGTGTTTCTCAATTACATATAACGTTTTCTCAATTTCATGTTGTGTTTCTTAATTACATATTACGACTTCTTAATTACAACTTTCATGTTCTCATTTACATCTTGAAAAGAAGTAGTAAATGGCTGTGAAATTGATTCTGGTATGGCTCGTTCACTGATTACAGGAGATGAAGGTGTTAAAGAGCAAAAACTAGACACAGAAAATGGAGGTGCTTTAGGGGCTGGTTTGTGAGATTTAGTTTTCGATCGACTGTTGCTCCCTTCTGCAGAACCTTTTTCTTAGAAACTTGGCAAAGGGGTTTTTTATTTATTTGCTGAGAATCCTTGTCAGAATACTCATCACTATTAATGTTGTCATCTTCAAGATATTTCTAAATATTAAACACACAAAATAAAATATTTTATGTTGTAATAAAGTAATTCCACAAGTTCATATAATTGAAGTACTTAGAATACTCATTTTAGGTAGTCAAAAATAAGGAAATAAAAAAATATTTTATACTGGAATAAAATTCCAGAAAGTTCAAATAATTGAAATACTTTTTAAGTATTTTCAGACATCACATTTATTTAGAATTTATTAGAACAAACACATTAAACATTATTTGTTGCAATAAAATACAATTGAAGATATATATATATATATATATATATATATATATATATATATATATATATATATATATATATATATATATATATATATATATATATATATATATATATATATATATATATATAAAATAATATAAAGGGTGGGTTTTTTTTTAACTTTTTTTTAAAAAAATAACCTCTAAATGTGTGCAAAATAATAAAATAACACTAGGTTTAATTTTTTTTTTTTGAATAAAAAATATTTTTAGGGGTCCCCCAAGTCCCTTGAATATTTTACGGGTCCCTAATATTAAAAAATAATAATTATTTTGAACAAAAATAATTATTTCAACTTATTTATCAAAATTATCATTAAAAAACTTTAAAAAAAGCACTTTTTTTATTTTTTGTTAAAAAACATGATTTTTTATGCAATAAAACCTAAAATAATTATTTTTATTCAAAAAAAAAATTTTTTTTGAGATTTTTATAAATTTTTTTTTAATTTTAGATATTCAAGGGTCTTGGGGGGCCCCTTAAAATATTTTATATTCAAAAAAATTGTAAACTAAATGTTATTTTATTATTTTGCACACATTGAGAGGTAGTGCCTCTAAATGTGTAAAAAAACCACCCTATATATTATTATATATAATATATATATAAGTTAAAAAAAAACCACCCTATTATATATATATATATATATATATATATATATATATATATATATATATATATATATATATATATATATATATATATATATATATATATATATATATATATATATATATATATATATATATATATATATATATATATATATATATATATATATATATGTCTGATTTGTCTAAAAGCAGTTATTACTTGCACCAATTATTTATATACCTAAAAACAGTTATTACTTGCACTTATGATTTATAACTGAAAATAGCATTACTTGCACTTTATATGATTAATTGATTATAATTATAATATCTAAAAACAATATTCAACATTACATAGATTTTAACTATTTATTCTAATAAAATTATTGCATTAATTTGTTTACTTGAACACATTGATTTTGTTCTAAATATAATAATAAATGCTCAAATCATTTAAAAACATTTTTTTTCGTTTGAACAAAATTTCATTGCACAAATGTTAAAATTGCATCATAGGAATGACAGCATAATCATTATCAATTGGTAGGCAAACATATTTTCTTTTAATTTCTGTTGGTGAACAGTATAGCAATTCGTTTTCCAAGCAAGAAACTTTAAAAATATCCACCTTCATAGAACAGCATGGGTATGTAAAAAAATCTTCAAGTTTTTTAAACTGTTTATACAAAATAAAGGACTGCTCAGCTGTTTTTACAATATTCTGCATAATAACTACTTTGCCATTGTTCAAGCTAAAACAGTTATCTCCATCTGTAATTTTTATGCAACAACGCTTGGTAAACAATTCCTTGTACTGAGCACATACTTTCAACGATTTGACGACTGGCCCATTATAATGCTCCTTCTTAAAGTATGTACTATTATGCTCACTTTCGTTTTTTTGTTTTTGTTGAATTGCTCTCTTCTCACCAAGTCTTCGACCTATTTGCTGCAAAGGCAAGTGAGGCTTCCGAACGAGTTTCTTTAACTGAGATAAATAATTCTCAAATGGAAATGATGAAATATTGTCCAGAGGACCAAATTTTTTGGCATCATTTGACAAATGTACCAGCCCATGCATATTATATGTAATAACTTCTTTGCCGTAAACCTCCGAGACATGCTCTACAAATAGCAATAACAAACTATGCGCATACGAAGCATATTTCTTGCATAGAAATTCATTTAGCAAGATGCTCATAGCAACAGATAAAAGCATAAAGTTATTATAGAGTGGAGGTGAAAGAATCCCATCAAAGCAAACCATGTCTGTATAAAGCAATAGTTGCCTAAATTCTGTTGCTTTCCAACGTTCAAATTCATGAAATGGCCGTGGCTTACGCGCAAATTCCGATGGAATGTAAGGTCTCATGTCAACCAATATTTCTGATAGATCTTTGACCACACGTGGGCCAAGTCTGGTGGCTAAAGGTCCCTTGAGCCACATAAAAACCATTTTCTTCATTACGCCAAGACAAACTAAATGCATGTAGTCTGCAGGTACCTGTGATATCATTCCTAATGATGAAATAGCAACAAGTGGCCTTTTTCCATAATGATGTTTCTGATCTTTCATTTCTAGAAATGATGAGTCTGTTCTAAGAGCTGCTGCTGTTTCCGGAAAAGTTGTACGCCCGGCATAAAAACCATGTTGTACACATTTATCACATCCATGATATGCACTGTGACCCTTAATACATTTAATAAAAGCTCGCGCTTGGGTGTCACAAACCAGAGCAGAAATTTTTATTTCATAACACACATTGTTAAATATGATTTCTGTTTCCTGAAGGTCTT